GCTCTTCCACTCATGTTGGATAAGTCTTGTAGCTATGATGTACCTCCTAAATAGTTATAGTCCAGCCCAGGGCCTCTCAAGTCCTGGTTGCTCAGAGTTGCATCTCATCTACAGCCTATGGAGCAAGAGTTTCTCAACAATCTTCCTGTCCCATGAAAGTCAGCGGGGGCTTTTGGTCTCTGGATGCCACAAGACTGATGTAGCTTCCTCATCAAGCTGAACAGGAAGATGTACAAGTACCAAGCCTGACAGCCTCAAGGCCGGGTACTCATTTCACTATAATGGACTAATCTATTGGAAGACTGTGGATACTGAGTCAGCTACTGACAGCCAGGGCATGTTGAGTGGCTAAAAAAGAGTAAGTCAGAAGCCTGTCATTTTCCCCTGAGAGGACCACAATCAACAAAAATGCTCAGAACCACATCCAGCAGAGTCCTTCACATCACTCACAAGAACAAATACTAGAAAGATCTCTACCTAGCTACCCTTTGATGGTTCAGTGACCCAGAAATCAGTTATGGCAAAGAAATAAACCCATCCTCCTCCCAAGAATAACACCTAAGTGTGGATCCACACTCCCCACTCCTAGTTTTGATCAATAAAAGAATCTGCCTGGAAAAAGAAAAAGAAAGTCAGTAAGGACTTCCTCTTATCCCTCTGTTGAAGATGGGCTAGGAATAAGGAATAGGAATTCAGGGGAACTTTCCCCTACATATATTTGTATTTGTTTGTGTTCCCTGTGTATCCCTAGAACAAGTCTTGAGCATCAGGTTCTACCATCAGCTCCTAAGGCCTTTGGCAAAGGAAGCACATGGTATCACAAAGTCACTGGCAGCCAAGACCTTGTCAGTACTGAAACCTCGTTCTCACAGGTTGACAGATGCCGTCCTAAGAGGTCAGGAGACAAAAAGGCATGTAAGTTAATATCAATTGATATCATCAGTAGGAAGACCAACAAGCAGGGAGAAAAGAGAGGTGGGGGGACATGGACTTCTTTTCCTTTTTTTTTTTTTTTTACTTTCTGCCTCCTTTCTCTGTCTCTCTGTTTCTGTCTCTCTTTGTCTCTGTCTCTCTCTTTGTCTCTGTTTTTGTGTCTGTCTCTCTGTCTCTCAATCTCTCTCTCTGTCTCTCTCTCTCTCTCTCTTCCCTTCTTTCTCTGTCCTCTGCCACATGAGAAACAGCTTATTGTAATGAAGAGTTCCGGACTGGGAATCAGGAGACCAGAATTCTAATCACTTCTTCTGTCTGTGGCTCATTTTCCTATCTGTAAAATGAAGTGGTTGAGTTGGATATATAAGGTGCCGTCTAGCACTAAGATTCTGTCATTCTGTACATCACCACTAGCACTTAGCCCAGTGACTGTTACATAGTAGGAACTTAATAAATGCTAGTTGACTGTCTGACCAGTAAGTATCCCAAATTTACTGATGAAGATAAAACTATGAGAGAAAACCCCTGGCAGGAAAAGAGTAATTACTACTGTCCAGGGCTCTTCCCTTCTGAGTGTTCTGTTTCTACACAACCTTCTCTCCTGAATGATTCAATTAGCTCCCTTGGGTTCAGTTATCATTACTATGTAGAAGACTCAGATGTACATATATGCCCCCAGTCTCTCTCCTGAGTGTCACTCTTCATTGCTAACTGCCTGAAAAACCTTTCCAATTGGATACCCCATAAACAACTCAATATAGACACATTTCAAATAGAACTCTTTGTCTCCACCCCTCCCAGCCCATCCCACACCACACCACCCCCTCTCACTTTCTAACCTTAGGGCTGTCTTGATTTGCATTTCTCTTCTTAGAAATATAGAGCATTTTTTCATGTAGTTGTGTATAGGCTGCAGGTCCTCTTTTGAGAACTATTTGTTCATATCTTTTGACCATTTGTTTATTAGGGAATGGCTATAAGTCTCATAATTATAGATTGTTTATTTATCTTGGATACCAAATCCTTATTAGAGAAATTTGATACAAGTATTTTTCCCAGTTGACCACTTCCCTAGATGCATTAATATTGACTGTGCAGAATCTTTTCAGTTTCAAATAATCAGTTATCTATTTTAATCTTTTTTAATTGCCTTTCTCTCATTTGGTTGAGAACACTTCCCTGCCCCATAGCTGTGAGAGGTATACAATCTGTTTCTCTTCTAATGTTTAATAGTATGATATTTAATTTTAAAGTCATGTATCTATTTAGAATTACTATAAAGTGTGGTGTAAGAGGGTAGTCTAAGCTTAATTTCTACCAGACCACTTTAAAGTTTTCCCAGCAATTTTTTTTACAAAACAGGGAGTTTTCCCCTAGGTAACCTATTTTTTTTATTTAATCAAATACTGGTTTATTGAGTCTATTTTTTTCTAAAAAATTTGTTCCATTGATCTATCTCTCTATTTTTTAACTAATACCAGATGGTTTATAATATAGTTTGAGGTCTGGAAGTACTATTTCCCCTTTGTCCTTTCTTCTTTTCATCATTTCCCTTAATAGTCTAGATCTAATGTTTTTCCAAAGGCATTTTGTTATTATTTTATTAAGCTCTAAAAAGTATCTTCTTGGTAATTTGATTGGTATAACATTAAAAGTATAAATTAATCTCGGTAATATTGTCATGAGCACTGAATATTCCTTTAATTCTTTATTCTGAATATTCTTTAATTCTTTTTTTTTTTCCTTTTTGGTAAAGCAATTGGAATTAAGTGACTTGCCCAGGGTCACACAGCTAGTGTCAAGTGTCTGAGGCTGGATTTGAACTCAGGTCCTCCTGACTGCAAGGCCAGAGCTCTATCCACCATACCATCTAGCTGCCCCTGTTGTTCTTTAATTCTTTAAGGAGTGTTTTGTGATCAAATCTATTGTAGTCTTTTGCATGCTTTGACAGGTTGATCTCCAGATATTTTATGCATTTTAGCAGTGGAATTTCCCTTTCTATCATTGCCTCTTGGGTTTTGTTATCATTTTATAGAAATGCTGATGATTTTTGAAGATTTATTTTGTAACCTGCAACTTTGCTGAAGCCATTAATTTGTCTCAATTAGTATCTTTGCTGATTCTCTAGGGTTTTTCAAGTACACCATCATATCAACAGTAAGCTGGGATAGTTTTAGTTCCTCTTTACCCATGTTTATTCCTTTAATTCCTTTCTCTTGTCTTACTGCTATTACTAGCATTTCAAGAACTATATCAAATAATAGTGGGGAGAGCAGGCCCCCTTACTTCACTCCTGTATTTACTGAAAAGGTTCTAGTATATCCCCATTGCATATAATGCTTACTATTGATTTCAGAGAGACGCTTTTTTTTTGAGACTAAAAAAAGGTCCCTCTATATCCATAATCTTGTAGGGTTTTTAGCATAAAAGAGTGTTGTATTATGTCGAAGGTTTTTTTCTATATCTATCAAGATGGTCATGTGGTTTGGGATGTTTTGGTTTTTAATATGATTAATTATGTTGATTATTTTCCTAATGTTGAACCATCTTTGCATACCTGGTATAAATTCCACATGATCATAATGAATGATTTCTTGGATAAATAACTGCAATCTGCTTGATGGGATTTTGTTTAAAATTTTAGGGTTTAGGAACTAAGAAAAATAAGTAGTTCATCACTTCAAACTTTGGGTTAGGTTGAGAGAGGTATTAAACACCAGCTAGGTTTAGAAAGTAGTTAAGTGGAAACTGGTCCAAATCTGGAAATCACATCCTAGAAGGAACATTAACAAATTAGGACATGTCCAAGGGTGACTTGGTTGGTGAGGGGAGCTTGGAACCATGTCTTGGTGGATCCCTTTCCACCATAGAATGGCCCAGAGACCATTCTATCTGATTTGTTATAATAATAGTAGCTGATTTATAATCATCATAATAGTCATCATTTATGTAGATCTTTAAAGCTTGCAGAGCCCTTTACATACTTCATATGATCCTCACAACCAAGGCTGCAGGCAGGGGTGTGATGGTAAATGTTTAACAACCAGACCTTCAAAAAGGCAGAGCATACTTTTAAATTTAATCTTCATTGTTAACATTTTCTTAATTGCTTTCTTAAGTCCAAACAATCAACAAAATAGTAAATCAAGTCTCATTTTGCAATATTTACCCATTTCTGAGGTATAAATGACCACACTGAACATTTAACAATCGGCTCCACTGGTTTTAGCACAACCTTATGAAGTAGGTGCTATTATTATTCCCATTTTCCAGATGAAGAAACAGACACTGATGGAGGCAAAGTGACTTGCCCAGGGTCACATAGCTAGAAAAACGCCTGAAGCTCTTTTTAGCATAAAAGAGTATTGTATTTTGTCAAAGGCTTTTTCTATGTCTATTGAGATGATCATGTGGTTTTGATGTTTTGGGACCCTAAACCAGCTCTTTATCTACTGTCCCATTCAAAAACTAGCTTTATTATCACAAGAAATCAGAGAGAGGGTCTGTTGATGCTTAGACAGTAAGATCAAGAGAAATCCTATAGTAACCCCAAGGGAAAGCAGAAAGTGGACCACTGAGAAAGTTAATGTCCTCTGACTCTGTGCTATAATTTTTTTAAACGTGGGTAAAGCCATCCCGTGTAGTTTCAGGGAAGGAGTGGTACAGGTCTGTTCTATGCTACTAGACCAAAGCCATGAGGGAAGAGTTCAGGTGGAAAGGAATTCACCGAGATATAGTTTCAAGCTCCCTCACCATCCAGGTCACCCTTGGACTTGTCCTTTATTACGTGCCTGCTGTGTGTCAGATACTATGCTAGGCAATGGAGATAACAAAAACACAAGTTAAAAACCCCTATAAGGGGCTTAATTTCTTTTGGGGGGCCACACAGCTAGAAAGTGTCTAAGGTAGGATTTGAACCCTTCTTTACTCCAGGTCTGGGTTTCTCCACAAGCTAATAGTCTCTCTGAACCCCTGGTTGATTGACTTAGGGCCTCCTACATTTCCCCTCCGTAGCCCAGTTTCATAAGTTTCTCCCTAACAACCACTTTTTGTTTCTTCCTGTCTAACAGCACATTCAGCTTCTGGATCCTGACTCACTGCAGAGGTGGTGGCAGCAACAGGTAAGCAGGGCCTTTCACTGGGGTCTGCTGGGAACTGAGCAGAGAAGGTCTCCCCCATTTCAGATGGAAGACCTTGAGAGGTAAAGTGGGTCAAGTCATCCCTTTGTCTTTGGTAAGAACCACTTTTCAGCTCTCAGCTAAGCTGAGAATTCAACCGAGAAGCAGACTTCTTCTGTAGAAATTAAGATTGCAACACTAGCCCTGCCCTGACCCAGTTCCTTCAGAAAGTGCTAGCTGGCATTTGTCCTGAATTGCTCTCTATTAACCTTTCTGTCTTCTTGCTTTATCCTCAGATTAGTAAGAAACTGCCCACCCCTGTACACCAGGATATAGTAAAAAGAGGACTGGATTTCGTGTCAAACCTGGGTTTGAATCCCACCCCGGACACTTAGCATGTGGCTTTGGGACATTCACATCAGTTCCCTGAATCCTACTTTGCTCATCTCTAAAATGTGAAGTTTGAATCAGATAGGCTCTAAGGTCCTTTCCCGCTTTACATATACAATCTATTCTCCTAAACACTACTGATTAATGAAAGAAATCAGAGAGAGGGTCTGTTGCTGCTTAGACAGTGAGATCAAGAGAAATCCTATAGTAACCCCAAGGGAAAGCAGAAAGTGGGACCACCGAGAAAGTTAATGTCCTCTGACTCTGTGCTATAATTTTTTTAAATGTGGGTAAAGCCATCCCTTGTAATTTCAGGGAAGGAGTGGTACTCCCTTCTTACTTCTGACAAACTTTTTTAAACAGGTGAAATTAGATTAAAATGAACAACCAAAGGCAGCTTGAAAGAGAAAAAACGGCTGTGTGGATATGGAAAGGGTTAGTCTCACTGTGTTTTATCCCTGTTATAGGTTGAGTACAGATAAAAAAGCCTCAGCTTTTTTAAATTATCAGCTGCCCTGAATTCACTTTTTTCTCTCTTGGTGAGATAAGCGCAGAGGTGGAAAGGCAAAGCTGAAGGCTCGCCATATCCTAAGATAGCAATTCATCTCTCACAGTGTGGTATGAGGGTCCTTGAGACCTTTTCAAGGAGTCCTTGAGTTCAAATATATTTTCATAATAATATTAAGATGTTTTAATTCCTTACATGGTAAATAGCAATAAATATAACCCACATAAACAAAAGCTCCTTAGGGTCTTCAATTTTTAAGAGTGTAAAGGGGTCTTAGGACCCAAAAGTTTGAGAAACCCTGTCCTAATCACAGTATATGCTCATGGGCTCTGCTTTGGGAGGAGGATTCTAAATGTTTTTATTGCAAACAGGCTCTGGGTGTTTCTGTGAGACTAGAAATGTAGAAAGTCAAGGAAAAGGAGAAAAATATTTGAGGGGCAACATATATGGCTAAGCTTTATTTGTCCTTTCTGCTATGATGCTATTTTAACAAAATAAAAGGCATTGCAAATGCCATTTGACAGAGTGTCCAAAATGTTATGTTCATAACTTGGTAGACTTACAATTTTCTCTTCTTTTATTAAAGGCTCTTTACTACTGTAGTTAGAAGACTTTGCAATAGGGGCTGGTAGATTGCTCTAGAATTGCATTTTTCAGACCCAATCCTGGTGCAATTCAAAAGATGTGACCAGGATTTAAGACAGGCACAAGGTCAGATCAGGTAGTTGGTGAATGAAGTACATCATAGAGCAGGAAAAGACATAGGTGAGGCTACCAATAATTCCAGAGTGGGTTCTTTAAAAGGGCTGCAAGATGGAATTGGAAAGTGGATCTCAGGGCTCCCATGGAGCAGAGGTGGAGACTAAAGATGATGTCTTTAGAAAGGCCAACACCAAGACTTACCAGATATCCCAGTCTTACCTTAGCTACCTTTATGAAATATTGACTCCCAGAAATATATTAAAAACAAAAACAAAACAAGAGAACTGTAGAATGGCTAGGTTGAAGGAGGCAGGAGGCAGACGAAGCTGTTCATCCCCAGACTTGGGGGATAGGGTATCTAATGAGGTACAGGAGAGAGGGTAAGTGGAGAAATTTTAAGAAAGAGAAAGCTCAGTTTTTCTGGGTGAACTACATCAGCAATTAATTCAAACAAGCTATTAAAAATATCCTGCCCCATCTGGGAAATTCACTTCTGGTTGAACAACTTCATCTGCCAGGCACCTCCTCCTTATGACTTTATAGTACCTCCACCCTTTTATTGGTCATATCTACTTTCAGAAGCTGACACCAAAGTGAAAAATCAGCTAGCGGGTAAGCCTTGGGATTTTCTTCTCCTTGGTTTCTCTGCTCTTTGCTCCTACCCCCAAAAGCCCAGAGACCTTGCCTTCATCTATCTTAGTCCTCCAAACCCTGGGTGAGTGGATAGATAGATAGAAGGATAGACAGATAGATTGATAGATGGACAAACAGAAAAATGAACAGATAGAGAGATGATAGATAGATAATAGATAGATAAAAGGAGATAGATACATAGACAGATAAAAGAAACTAGAAAGACAGACAGACAGATAGAGAGATTGAAGATAGGAGATGGCTGATAGAGGAATAGACAGATGGGCAGATAGATACAGATAGAACACTTATTAAGCATGTATGTGTCAGGTACTTTTCCAATTATAAACATATAAGCCAGTGTCTATGCTCAAGAAGCTTACATTCTCCACCAGCCTCCACCCTCACCTCAAGGGGGAAAACACATAAAGGGAAGCTGAGGGAGGGGGTTGGGCAGAGACAGTAGAAGATGTGGGGGAAGGGAAGTTAGGAGCATGGCTGAGATCCCCCATGAAATAGAGATCTGGGCTAGAGATTCACCAGTAAGGAAAAGATACAGGGCAGAGGCATCTCCAGAGTAAGAAGGCTGCAGAGAGTGGAGGTCTAATCAGGAGAATACAGATACAGATCACAAACCCACCAGGGCTCACTCAGGTCCCTGGTTCCGAGTCTGCATAGGACCCACCCACACCACTTCCTCTCTTCCTGCTGTTCTTTTTCCAAGCAGCATCAGGGTGGAGAGCGGCAAGGGTAAGTGGGGAAGAGGGGAGAGAAACAGGAGGGGACTCAGAAAATGTCAATTCTGATCAATGGTACAAACCTTTATATGCTTACTGGCCCTCTCACCATTGTTCCATAATACTGATATTGCTACCAAAAAAAAAAAAAAAGCATAAGAACTGAACCTCCCACATGCAGTTTTTCTTGGGTGAAGGTTCAATGCACCAGCCTCCACGCTCGCTCTAACACTATTTCTCACATTGAATCCTTGAGTGCCTGCTGGGTCTACCTATCTCAGCCTCCACACACAATTCTTCTTCTAGCCCACTCTGCTTCTTCCCACATTCTGAGTCATTCACACATACACTAAGGCTCCAAGCTCTCAGGAACGCCCTCACTCTCTCCTATAGATAGATTCACTCCTCACAATGCTAGCCCTCAGTCCATATTCCTTCCCCTGTCTCTTACCCTCTCCTCAACTAGTTTCTGCCAAGATACTTCATGAACAATGGAAGCAGGATTATATCCCAAAGCATCTTAAATACAATTGGAACATGAGCGGTAGCTGCCAATAGTCAAATCCCTGCATTCTCTCACATCTACATCTTTTTGCCTTTTGCTGGCATTTTCTTACTCTAATACATGTATATACACACATACATACGTATATGAGCAGTGGTGAGCTCCTCGCCTTCAAACAAAACCTTGATGCCACAAATTCTTAGACTGGGGATTCTCAACTTGAGGTCCATGAACTTTTAAAAAATATATATTTTGATGATTACATTCCAACATAATTGGTTTCCTTTATAATTCTATGTATGTTGTTTTATGTATTTAAATATATTATTCCGAGAAGGAGCCTGTTGGCTTCACCAAACACTACCAAAGAGGATTATGACCCCAAAAAGGTTAAGCACCCTCATCCTAGAATGTAACCTTCTTGAGCCAGGAAATGTTTCACTTTTTTCTTTATAGCCCTAGCAATTAATATGGTGCTTGGCACACAGCAGTTGATTAATAAATGTTCGTTGATTGATTAACTAAATGATGTAGAAGAGATTTCTGTCCAGATCTGGATTGGACTGAATGACCTTGGAGATCCCTTCCAGCCTAAAATTCTTCCACATATGCACACACATGAATCTTCCCTTAATATTCTAATCCAATGCCTCATCATGACATGAAAGTAACCTTGTGTTCTTGAAGGCTATGCCAGTCGAGTACAAGCTCTCATAAGTCTCACTCTTGCTCTGAGGCAGCTCTGAGTCCGGAAGATCTGAGTTCAAATTCAACCTTAGATACTTACTAGTTGGGTGATCTTGGACAAGTCATTTAACCTCTGTCTGTCTCAGTTTCCTCTATGGTAAAATGGACATAATAATACCTCGAAGGGTTGTTGTGATGTCCAAATGAGATAATATATGTAAAGTGCTTAGCACGCTTGCCTGACACATAGTAGGCATTTAATAAATGCTTGTTTCCTTCCCTGTCCCTTTCAACCTTATCAAGCTGGAAGAGCTTCGAATAGAAACCTGGGTGATGGACTATGGATCATCCAAAGACCAGCCCACCTAAACTTGGAGAGGCTCATGCCCAGAAGGTTGGCCACCAGGCATCTAATTTTTCAAATATGGCAACTCATAAAATGTGGAAGAGCTGTAATCTGTGTTGGTAAAAAGAGTTCCTGCACTGAGGAAGTTATAAATCTTGAAATCTCTAGCTTAATAAACAGTGTTAATTGTCTACCTAAATGATGTTACTGAAGGAGCACTGGATAGAAAGTTAGGAGGCCCTGTCATGAAGTTGTTGTGGGACCTTGGACAAATCCCTTCATGCTTCTGGGCCTCAGTTTCCTTATTAAAATGAGCGTTTGACTAGAATCTGAAAGTGCTTCTCAACTGTAAATCCTATGGGTCTCATCTTTTTTTTTTTTTTCAATTGAATAAATTGAGGCTTGTTTGACTTGTATGAGGTCTCATGGGGGAAAAAGACAGGGTTCCAACTCAGGTCCTCTGATTCTCAGATCTATTCCTTTTTCTACTACGCCATGATGCCTCTGGGTATGGGGATTGCACTGTGGGTTGTATTTGAATGAGTGCCCAAGTGAGGGTCACAGTAAATGGTAAACAGGATCAGAACACTTGGGACCAAACAGGTTTTAGAGGTCAGGGAAGTCTTCATTGAGGAGGTGTGAGTATGAGCTAGACCTTGAAGTCTCAGTAGAACTTAGGCAGAAAGGACCTTCAAACCATCTAGTTCAATCTTGTTATTTTACAGATTAGGAAACTGAGTCCTGGAGATATTAAGCAAATTGCCTAAACTCACAGCTAGTTAATTGCACAACAGTACTTAGAACCCAGAATTCCTGGCTGTTCAACCATTGCTATTTCCACGATAGATTTTGAAAAAGATTTCACGGAGAAAAGAGAGCATAAGCTAGTCTTTAGATTGTAGTTAGGCTATATATACATATATATATGCAGGCAGGAATATGTATGTATATGTGTGTATATGTATGCGTATGTGTTTACATATGTGTGTGTGTATGTTTGTATGTATGTATTTCAAGTTTTCTTGATGTGGGCTTTTTTTTACATTACAAAACTTTTACATATATATTACTCCCAGTTCATGATAGGACTCTTGTGTCAAAGTAAAACTAATAATATAGTGACCTTATCTGAAACTACATGCAATATATCACATCTTTAACACCCCATTCTCTCTATTTTTAGAAATTATCAGAAATCTATTTTCTCTCCCTCCTACTTTTACCCCATTAAAAAATAGAAAAAAAATTTCTTGTGACAAATATTCATGTCAAGCAAAACACATTTTCACAAAATGTAAAAAAATACAAAATGCAAAAAATATATGTGCATGTATATGTGTGTGATTAGGGTGTCATTCTACATCCTAATTCCATCACTGGTCTGTAATGAATAGCATGTTTCATCAATCATCCTCTGGAATCATGAACAAACATTGTACTGATCATAGTTCTTACAGTTTTGAAGGTTGTTCGTTTTTACAATGTTACTGTCATTTATATAAATCGTTCTCCTAGCTCAGCTCATTTCATTCTTCATCAGTTTGTCAAAGTCCTCACAACTGTTCCTTTTTGAAATATTGCTGTAACAGTGTGAGTTGCTTTTTCTGAACTGATGGGAAGGTATGGAACTTCAGGCAGGGGTTGGAGAAGCAGCATAAGCAAAAAGCAGGAATCAGAAGACATATTCAGGTGACAGGGAGCAGAGCAGTCCGGCTAGAGTAAAAGATTCTAGTAGAAGAATGATGGGTCATTTATTCTCTTTGGTTCTGATTCTTCTTTACAACATGACTAATGTGGAAATACGTTTAATATGATTATACATGCGTAGCCTATTATCAGATTACATGCCTTCTTGGGGAAGGGAGAGGGAAGGAAGGGGGAGATTTTAGAACTCAAAATCTTATAAAAGTGAATGATGAGAACTATAAACAAATACACAAATTAATAAAAAGAAGAAAAATAATTGGAAATCAGAGCAGAGATGTAGAGTAAGGCCAGACTGTGTAGCGAGGACCTTGAATGCCAGCAATACACAGTCTGGATTTTATCCCAAAAACAATAGGGGAAACCTACCCAATGCTAAGGCTTCCAAATTCCATTTAGCTGATCTGGGTCCCTTTTCTCCTCAGTTGCTCCTTAGTCTCAAAGGTACAGAGCTGAAGGCCACAGGAGCCCCAGATGGGGACCAAGAAGGTAGGATAATCTCATCTATGAGCAGAAACTTGGGTTCATAGCCCACCTCCAACACTTAACTGGCTTTTTACCATGGATGAGGGACTAACTTGACCTTGCTGATTCTCAGTTTCCTCGTGGAAAAATATAAGAAAAATACCCATGGGCTATTCTTCATTAGTCAACAAGTCAACAAATATTTATTAAGCTCTTACTATGTCAGGCACAACGCTAAGCACTGAAGATACAAAGAAAGGAAAAATATGGCCCCTACTCTCAAGGGGAGCTTAGTCTGATGAGGAAGACTATGTTTTAGCAACTATGTACATACAAGATATATACAGGGTAAATGGAAAAAGGAAAAGACCAAAGGAAGGACTTGCTATGGAGAGCAGCCCTGGAAAGTTGGGATTTGAGCTGTAACTGGATCAAAAGGAATGATGCTCCTCAACCCTTATCCCTTCCTTCTTCAATTTACCTTGTATACATATACCTTGTTTGCCAATAGCAGTGAATTCTAGCTTCTACCAACCTTGTCAATCTTTTTTAATATTAATCCTCTCAAGTGCTCTCCATTCCAATCAAACTAGCCTTCCAGCTATTATCTATTCATGACGTTCCAACTCCTACCTTTGTATCTTTGCATGAGTAATTCTCTGGAATGTATTGTCTTTTCGCCTCCACCAAGTAAATTTTCTATCTTCCTTCAAAGCACAATTCAGACACGACCTCCTACATGAGATCCCAGACACTTACTAACTGTGTAACCCAGGATAAATC